TATAATATTAAATATATATATATATATATATATATATATAAATTTTAGAAAAATTTGGGGGAGCCGTGGCTCCCCCTGTCACCAAGAAGGTCCGTCCCTGACCCTAACCCTCTAATTACTAGGCCAACTCTAATAGTTCTATTAACAGTGACTTAAATCAAGAAATAAACGAAGACACCTTTTGGCAATGCTGACATAATTCATGAGAAAATTTGATACCTCCTTAGATCTTCTGGTAAGCGTCGATGGCTCATCCATTGCTCGACGTCACGACCTCTAAGTTGCATTTCCAGCTTCCTGTAAAAGGGATAAAAGAAAACACATCAAGCATATTTCAAAAATAATAAACATTTGAACTTAACTATCAAAGTATAGTTAAAAAATGCGGCATTAGGTAAGCTCTACCTCCGTCCAAGAGCCTGAAGAAAGTTCTGTATGTTTCCAATCAGAATTGCAAAAAGCAAGAGTCCCATTCCTATGATGGCCATGGTAAAAAGCACTTCCCACACAAAATAGCTAGGATCTAGATTACCAGCTAGAGTACTGATTTGCTGTATCAAAATCATCCAGGGCATAACTGTTAGAGATATGAAATCATTCATGCGGCTGCTTTAGTATTTAGGAGTGTTGGTACAAATCAGAGTTTCTATGTCCCAATGGCAAGGAGTTCAACTTTTGTATAAGCGCTACAGAATGGAGAGAAAGAGAAATGCGTATACCTGGAATCCCCAAAAAAGAGAATACACATATTTGTTGACCAAGTTAGTTTCTATAGTAAGTGGTACAGCACTCCCATAAATCCCATAAGAGAAACCATCAGAAGAGGAATCCAAACAAGCAACAGCATCGCTATTATTCATCCACTGATATGATAAGCTAGGCTGATTGTTTCCAAGGCCACGTCCACAATCAATGAATTTCATGCATCCAGTTATATTAGAACTATGGCAGGCATTCCGCAAACACTGATTAACCCTCTGGAAGACGAAGAGAAAGAAAAGGAGAAAGTAAATTGAATGTTAACTTCATTTACTGAGTTACATTTCTGATTCTAATTGAACCACTCGTCTTTTAAGCATCCAAGGAAACACAATATATTTTGTAGTTGTGTTTCATTTCCAACATTGTATAACAATCAAAACTCAAAAGGACATCTTATTGATAGAGCGCTTTACGTTGCCTATAAATCTCATTGCATATTATATCCTCTATCCTCTACATATATAAATTAGAATAACTACTTCAAAAGAGATCAATTTTAGGAACCTTTCGAGTGTATTTAAGGATTTTTCTTAACATCTTATCTCTTTCGATCTTTTTTTTTTCTAAATTGAATTTGAATATATTTCCTAAAAAAGAATTGTCAGTAGGTAAAATAATCTTGCATAACAATATAAATTTTTTTATCATAAATCTAAAATGTAATTTATATATTCAAAAGTATTTATTTATTATAAATTTTGTTATGCAAAATAAAAATTTATAGACTAAAATACTAGTTAGTTATTATTATATAATACACAACCACATGGGAGTATGCATTCTGGTGAATCGAGTCTTATTTCTTCTGCCTTTTCTATTTGTTCTTGGTATGGTTTGAGGGCAGGCATGAAAACTGCAGTTTATGCTACTCAATAACAATAAAATAACATCGGAATTTGGCTCCTCTTGAATGAAAGGTGAGAATTTACTGGACATAATAGTGAGGAAGAAATTTCATATTTGTCAAGAAACAAGTTCAAATGCTATGTCCCTCACCTGTAGACCAAAGAGGTACCAGCAAGAGCCAACAACATGACTAGCAAGCATAAAAATGAGGAGATTTATAATGAAATTTGCCCAGGCTGACTCAAATATGAATCCTGTTGGAGATTGACCAATTAGCAGCGGCAGAAACCTGAATAACTTGGGGATATATTGCACTAAGATCGCTGCACGCAGAAGATTCTTTGCATAATTTGCTCCCCCAAAAGAATTTGGTAGGACAAACAATATCATTATCTGCACATATTTGACTACACATGTCATGAAAAGGAGTTGGTGAGTACATAAGCTAATAGTCACTTTATCATATTTTACAGATTGAAAACCCTTTCCTTGCACTGCCACTTGTAATTGCTGTGAAGCACAAGCTAATGTCCACAGACAAATGATTCCTCAAAAGGATACAGAAAGGAAAAACCATTTTGGTTAACTCCAAACTTGATCATGCATGATAACATAGAACAAGAAGCAGTTTATTAACGCAAACAAGGTTCTGATAGTTAAACCAGTAATTGAGTCAGTGAAGTTTGATTCACAGGTTAATGGTTGAATAGTGTTGAACTAATGTATAATTAATATGTGTGTGTTAAATTATCATACTATTTTTTTTTGTTTATATTGGTATTGTTAATCCTTATAGAGGATTTTAATATTTTTAGTTTTTTTTATTAATTTAAAACCGTAATGAAAGTCTATTAACATAAAGAACAATGGCAAGTTATTATAGCATATAAATATAAAGCACGCAATTGAATAAATAAAATGAAAGTGAAAAATCATTTCTTCACAATATTGTTTTCAAAATAACTCATCAATTTATTATAGTAATTAAAATATATCTTGATCTTATCTTAATCTTAATATTATATATTTAAATGTTTTATACTTTAAAAAACAGAAGACATAATGTAGTATAATGTATAAGGTTAGCATCACCAATACAACCCGCATAAATCTAATAATAAGAATCATTTCTAATTCTAGCATATAACTAGAAGCTCGAGTTTTAGGTTTATTAATTAAAAGGTGTCAGAGCCTTTGAATATTTATCAGCAGTCAAGAGAAAGTTGGGATTGTGGCATGTATATTTTTCAAATAGAAAGAAATTTTGCATATACTAGTTCCTAAATATGCATGCATTATCAATTTAATCTCATATATTAATTTTATTAATTTAATTCTTTAAAGTTCAAATTCATATTTTAGTCCCCATGAAGTCTAGTCCACATATCATTCACCTTTGTTAATTGGACAGAAGGACAAAAATTTTTAGAATTTGAACTGAGGGATCAAATTGATAAAATTCATCTTTAATGAACCAAATTGCAAATAGGTGTCTTTCAAAGATTAAAATAGGGTTGTACTTAAACAGTTCAAATTCATAATAACTGGTATTTTGAGATAGAAATGAAAAGAATTTGAAGTCTCAAATTCATAGGAAAACCCAATCCTTGAATTTGGTGAATGGGGAAATTTATTTACCAAATCTATTATATGTTGAGATATAAAATCCAAATTAGTCTAAACAGATAATATCAGTAAAATGCTTTAGTATACTGAGGACTATCATCTTTTCCTTTTTTATCAAAGATACAGACAACTGAAAATTTAGATCCGGCAAAAACATATATCTCACAAGATGACTAGAAAACATTTATTTTCAGATCTGAACAACATCAGGAAAAGGAGAGAGAAAATGAATGTGTTCATATTCAAATGTTACACTAGTATCACATAATTCAAGATAGAAATTGGGTGGCATTTACAAATGGATATCTGAAATACTAAATCTAGATGAGCAAACTCAGTACAAAAAAAATGAAAACAACTTCCATAAGATTAAGGGAAAATGGGAAGTACTTTACCTGAGGAAGAGGAAATACAACAAATAAGTCAATAAGGAAATAACCCTTTAGGTAATGAAGAGCAATTTTCTTTGGATGGTCAACTAAATCTCCAGCACCAACCACCCTCGATTCACGAGAAACATAAGCTAACCTAAACTGTAAATGGGCAATTTCATAGAGTTATTTAAACTTTAAATTATAAAAACACAGCAAACTAGCTAAAAAACATAACTATTCAAGATTCAGGACAGTGCTTTGCTTTCCCTTTTGAACTTAACTAATAAACAACAATAAAGCAAGACACATGCAAGTACTTAATACTATTAATAAGGATATACTCCATTCTATTTATCATTTGTCTGTTAATCATTTCAATTTTTTATTCTCATATAGCATAATATATATAAGTTATTTGACACTTTACACTGTATAGTTTATTTGTCAGCAAATATGTAGTCTTGGATTTGTAAAATTGAGGAACAATCCTCTAAACATGATAGATTATATGGAACAATTGTTTTAAATGGTGTGTGTTTAAGTGAAATTAAGGGTGGGTAATTAAACATGATGTTAGACATACTTACAGAATGGGATAGTAACATTTTATTTGAATTGCATGAACTTCCTTTGAGTTGGCTTATATGAATCTAAATCCTGATATTATGGAGTTAGAAATCTGTTCTGAAATACATGCATCGGAATATTAACCTCCTCAAAACTAAGAACATAAGAACATGGATTAATAAAAACATGGCATCAATGACAGATAATGATTATAGTTTTCAAACAAAAAATAAGGTAGCATTCCATGAATATAAGGATTTGCACAAATTAAAAGCAGGGGAGAGGAGAAGGGGTTTAAGAAAAGGTAGTTAACGAGAAGTTACCTGTAGAAGAATGTTAAGGAAATAAAGAAAATCATTCACACATCTAAATGAAACAAGTGCTTTCGTCATAGGCCAGTTGATAACAATACATTTATTATCCTGCATATTGTGAACCGGAAAAATGAAAAATAAATTTGCAAATAGTAAAAGGGAAAGATAAGTGACTAGAACCTGCAATATTTTATAGTTGAATGATAGGAAAATAACCATACCTTCTCCACATAGAGTAAGAAGAAAAATAATGGGTCCACAAAAATAGCAATCAGGCAAAATATGGCCAAAAATTGGTTCCATCTTTGTACAACCTTGGCATGAGGGTTCTTAACTCCAAGAACATAAGAAGAGCAGAAAGAAAGAAGTTTTCTGACAAAACTCTTTGCATCCCCATAAAGAGCATTATGGAACTACATTCAAAATATGAGAAAAGTAAGCTTTGTTATGAGAAAGTGATAGTAATTGACAAATGTCTGCAAAAAAAAGAAAATTTTAAAATAAGATCAAAGATACTAATATAGTAAAGCCTTAGTAAAATGTTTGTCTATGCACTAAATAATGGAAGCCAACTGAAATTATAGTCTACTTAAGGATGAAGGGCAGAAACCTTTGGATCCCATCTAGTTGAAGGTTTTGGATTTCTTTGCTGAGAAGCATTGAAGTAAGTAGGGCAAGTAGTACAATAAGGATCATTGCACATTCCCAGTTGCCCAGACCTCAGTAAGTGTTCATTTTTTCTATCATAGTCGTTATTCCAGAAATTTGAACCTGTTTCGCGGAATGTAGCAAAATTGTCTGTTTCTGTCTCCTCTGCTTTGTTTCCTGATACAACAACACGCTTCTGCAAAAGATTTCCACTTCCAGTGGTAGCATATAGTGGACCACTCATCTGCACAACGGGTGTGTTTCTCTTGCTCTGAAGTGGACCAGTATGTCCCACAAGACTAGTTTCTTTCTCATATGACTCCAAGGAGGTCATAGGAATAGAAATTGATGCACTTTGCGTCCTGGTTATTATCCTTCGGAATTTAGAATCCGAGGATTCACGTTCATCAAATGGTTGTGCATCTGTATCTGACAGCATCGGCAGCTTATCATTTTCAAAATTAGCCATCTTTCCTTGATAATTCTGCCATTTTTGCATGAATTTAGCAAAATAGTCAATACATGTGCTTTTGTATCATATCAGCAATTTTAAATAAAAAATGCGGCAATTTAATTTGAAACATGAAAAGGGAGAATAAAAATTACTAAAATAGTAACTAGAAAGTGAGTAGTGCAGTATGGAAAACCCAAATACCATAAAGCAGTGACCAAATGCAGCACAAAGCTACCAGTATTATCTTTCCCTTGCACTTGCCCATATACCCCACATTAATCCCTAACCAAATCTCAATTGGCTGCAATTTATTTTCCAGATGAAGACTTCTAACATTTTAGGAACTAGGACAATAAAACAGCAATAAGATAATGGGGATGGGTAATTTTAGTGTTACAACTCACAAAACAAAATAGTGAAATTTAGTTTTTTTGGTGAATGCAGGATATCCCAAAAGCCAAGGACTAATCTTCCGAAAATTTGAAATCTATTTAAGTAGCTGACTTCTCCCAATAAATATTTTTCCATTTTTTTTTCACTAGTGAAATATAGTTATGAAGTTAGGATCTCCTCCAAACTCACTGGAAAAGGAACTTGTATCATTCAAGATAAAAGTGATAAATTCCCTTATCTAAAATCCTCTTGAACTTGGAAGAAACCAAGTAGACATCCATTGACCAAAACCAATAATGCAAATCATTGTGATGCATGAACCATCCAACCTCTATTTTCTATGGGAGAGTTAATATTAATAAACACAAAACATCTACATAAACCCACATGCATTCCAAAAGAATGAGCATTTATACACTACTGTATCGCATAGCATTGAGGAAAAGCAACTAGCTTTGGAATCAGTGGAAGAATTCTAGCATGATCAAACAATAACGAAGAAAAACAACAACACTCACAATTCAGAAACCTGTTGGGCAGCGGATTTCCCAGTGAAGAGTCAGAACTCAAAACCCCCCACCAGCTTTTTTGCATCAAATTAAGTGAAAGGATGCATTTTTGAGAGCTTCTTCATCATGGGGCCACTGGAGAGGATGTTCTCACAAAAGGGTGAAATCGGCTTTAGGAACAAAATGAAAAGAGAATATAGCGAAATAGCAAACTGAGAGCTGTAACAGTGAAAATGTCTGTTCTGATTTGAACTTGATGAATTGAAAGCAAGTGGAGTTGGAATTCGAATTGAGTTGTAAATTCACTGAATTGCAAGTACCATGAATATGATAGTGGATTATTATTATTCTTTTTTGGTTTTATATTTCTTTATTGGTTGTTGGAATGATTTGTCATATAGCGTTGGAATGTGCATTACGCCGTCAAAAAATGTAAAAAGCCTTCCTTTTTCCATTCTTTTCTTTTTCTTTTTCTTTTTCTATTTCAATTTAAATTATAGTATGAATATTAGTATAAATATATATTCCCTGAAGACTTAAATAAAAAAAAATTAAGAATAAAAAAATCATGAATGGTGAAATAAAAAATATATATATACCTTATTTTATAATATTATCTTTAAAAAGCCTTTATATTGAAATTTTACTTTTAATGACTTTTTCTTAATATAAAATTTTATTAAAATGAAATGTAGAAAATGAAATTTTAATTAAAATAATTGAATAATTAATATACATCTATTTAAGTTTGGAAGAGGAATCTAGTAAAACTTTAGTAAGATGAATTTTTATTAAATATTTGTGTAAAACAATTTACGCTTACGATGCGTATAAATTAAACATTTTCTATTTTTTCGTAGAAGTTGCTTCTTTGGTTCTCTTTGGGGAAAGTAAAGAAGACGACACGAACCTTAACCTGGTAATAAGTAACAAAACAAGTTAAGCAACGATTGTCATGTTGAGTAGGGTTTAAATAATAAAATTTAAATATAACTTTATCCTATTAAAATTTAATATGAAACAGTTCATTTCTTTTTTATTATATACTTTTTAGTGTATAGTAAGACTGTAAGAGTGTCTTTAAATAAATATTAACTCTTTTCATAATAAAAATATTTTCGAAATAAATACAAATTTTTCAAATTTTAATTAAAAATGTTGATTTTTTTATCTATCAGAATTTAAAAAATATATATTAATATTTAATTATTTATTAATTGTACCAAAATTTATTGTTTTTGTTTATCGTACAGTTCTCTGATGGCTTTCCCCATACACAAAAAAGAATAAAAGGTGCTGACAGTTGGCAAGAGGTTGACGACAAACCTATTTGGTCAAAAATAATGCCTACCAAATGAATTGATGTTTCTATAAAATGGAAAATGGAATACACCATAATTATAAAATTTCTTTTTAATTACTATATCAAAATTATAAGAGTGTGTGATAAGCATTTTTAGGTGGTTTCTAGTTTTTTTATTAGTTGAAAATCTTAATTGACTATGGGAACAATTTTTTTTCATATTTTTTGAAGCTTTGCTTCAAGTAGCATTTTAGGTTTTAGCTTTTCATATTCTTCCTTTTTATCTTTAAAATATTATTAAAGTACAGTTTTATTATTTCTTATACATTCCTAGCACGATGCTATTTAAATTGACCCCACCATGTCTTGCATAGCTTTTTTCTGTCTCGCAAGTAGCTTTTCTTTCACAATATTGTAAATATAAAATAAAAATAATAAGTAATTCAAATAATTTATTTTAAACTAATAAATTTTAATTATATAATATATTTTAAAAAAATATATCTAAATCCAATTATGTCCCCAAAAACATAGAATCGACAGCGTCACACTCCAATATCATTCTTTTTTGTTTTGCTTAGAATAAGAAATTAAACATGTTTTTGGTGTGCAAATTTTGAAACAAATTTTTTAATGTAACTGTGCAAAGGGTTATTTATATATAATTTTATTGTCTATTTCTTCTAATCAAAACTAATTAACAAATTTGACTATTAGACATAAATAATCGTTGATACCTTTGTACAAGTGATTTTTGAATTGATCGAATCACGTTAGCAACCAATGAAGAGTTAAAAATTAAATAAAGATAAGAAAGTGAAGTTTGGTTACATCAATTATACTTTCTCCTCCATCAGCAGATTTTATGAGTTAATTTTTTTTTTTTTTTTTTGTCGTATGTAAGATAGGATTCGAACTCCTAACCTTACTTAAGCGTGGATCAACCTCTACTACTGAACCACACGCTTGGGGTTGTTTTTTTTTTTTTTTTTATGTTTATAACCAATATAATGCATCAGATTATATATTATTTGGAAAATATGTAACTTGAGACCAACCTGGTTTGACATCAGAGTAGCAAAAAACCAAAACAATAATTGGGCCTAGCCCAGTAGATGTCAAGTTAGGGAATGAGTAAGGTTCAGCCCTGGTACCCAAAAAAAAATGAATAAGAAAACTAATAAAAGCAAGATAAAACAAGTGGCACGTGAGTTTATATCTATATTTCACCTTTTTTTTTAATCCATTCATATAACTATTTTTCTTTTACTTCTTTCTTCCTCATTTCATTTTCTACCCAAACATAATGCTAAGTTCTAAATATGTAGATTTTAGAAGAGCATGATTAAGTTATATTATTGGAAAGAAAATAAGTAATCTATTTTTACAATTAACTTACAACATAAGCTAGTGATCAATTTACAATATTTTGCAGCAAACTAACCTAGCTATGCATATAGGTTATTGATGGTGTCTAATATATATTAGATATTACAGTGAAATTTAAATCTATGATGTTTAATTTGAATTTGAGGTGTTGGAACGACTAAGACATTTCATTCTGTATCTCCATGCAACCTGGATGCTCGTTGCTGCAAAGCATCTCCAATAAGGTGATTCATACCTAAGATAAGATAAGATAATGGAGAAATTAACCAAAATGCTATGTTAGTTATAACATATGATTTTGCCTAGCAAAATGGATTAAGAGAACTCACACTTCACATATCAGGAGATTATCCAAATCCGGTGAAGTACACAATCATGGTCTATTTTGATAATTATTATTTTTTACGATATAGGATGTTAGTATTATTATGATTGAGTATAACTTGCTTTTTTATTTCATTTGAATAAAGTCAACTTTTTTAGTTTTATCACTTTTCACTTTTTTTCTATCATATGAACCATGAATTCTAACAATAATTAAATGCATATTTAGGGAAACATGTAATTTCCATTATTTACATTATTTTAAGGACCAATATTTGAATGTTTACTCAGCCTATAGGTCATAAAACTAATAGCATTAATAATATAAATAAATCATAATCCAAAACTTCAGGGAGTTCCTGGTCAATCAGTTCACAGTATGGAAACAAAACCAAGATGAGAAAAGGAAAATGACTTGGTTGGAAAAAAAAATAAAATAAAAATAAAGGTGCCAAATAACATACTGCAGCTTTGTCCACAGTTCCTGGTCCATGCAATAAAGGCATAATTTAAAATAAAATAAAAGGGGTCAAAGATGAAAACAAAAGTCAGCAGATAAGAACTTGAAAAACGATGCGAAGTTGGAATGAAATGAGAAAGGGACACACGTTGCATCCACATGTTGGGTGAAGTTTGACCTTGTCTTAATATGAGAAATGTTTGACATTAACACTTTTGACATTTTTTGATATATTTTGATTATTAAAAAAATTAAGTGAACTTTTTTAAATAATAAATAAACAAATTATTTTGTAAGAGTCACGCAAAGTTTACTAAATAATGATACTAAAAGTATGTAAAAAGTGTACTTATATCCTCCCACTTTATTATATTGTCTATTTGTGTGTAGCATCATAACAAGTAGTAAACACTTTATTCACGAAAAAGAAAATAGTAAGCACTTAAACTTTTGACCATGGCCATGGAAAAGGGGACCAAGAGTTTGAATATGTTGGGATTTTTTGTGAAATCAATATTCAACATAAAATCTTCTCACACATTGTGTGCTACGTACATACTCTCTCACCTTATGCACTCTATTCTCTTTAATTGGCTAACCTCATTCTCATGTTTGCAACACGTTCAAAATAGAAATGTTTTTATTTTTCTTAACTAGAGTGATATAGAATTAGTATCACTCTTATTAGAATATATTTACTCAACTCTATGTAATGATTCTGTGTAGGTATGAAATTTTCCCTATACAACTATGCATTGTCAATATTAAAAAGTTAGTTAATAACAAAATATAGGAGAAGAGGATAACCTTATGGCTCCTTGAACACGAGTACTCCTAAAGAATCTGGCAAAAAGGCTTGTAACTTCTTCAAGGTCTGCTGCTCTAAGGGAAAATGCCTCCACATTTGTTAAGCAACATACTGTCCTGTTGCCAACCAACTTTTGCCTTGGAATCCTTGCTTTCCCACAACCTACAACAAGGGTGGGAAACTAACTTCATGTTCTTGCCTTCTACCTTAAACTATGAAATATACACCTATTCTAGAAAGCATCTTACTAACGAGTTCAACATTAAACATACATTATTAAATACTTGGCTTATTTGCACCTTTAGTCGCCTATCATCTTTATTTCGGGAATTTGGTCTCCTCATTTTTTTTCATGAATTTAGTTACTCTACTATTTTAATTGTGTAATTTTGGTCCTTTTGTTGACTGGACATTCGATATTTAATAGAAATATTCACAAGGCACTATGTTGTACTGCCAAGTTAGCACATTCATGCTAATGTGACACACTACTGTCATTTCATGTCAACATTTCTCTTAAATATTGGATATCAAGTAAATGGATCAAAATTGTATGATTAAAATAATGACAGATCAAATTCAAATAAAAAAATTGGGACAACTAAATTGGTATGATGACGATGACAAAGGGACCAAAATTACAATTAAGTCTAAATACCTCAAAAGGTCTTGGTAACCAAGAAAGCACTGGTTAAAGATCTTACATGGAGCAAGCTTTTATTGAAAACTACATGTAAGTTACACGGGAGAAATGAAATGTACCTTCGCTTGCTAAAGGATGCTCGAGACACCATGTCAGAAGTTCTTCACCACAAACACTCCCTTCATAAAGAGGAGCACTGATTCCATCTTCGCCAATGCTCTCCAATTTTCCACGCACTATAAAAACCATCTTCTCTACCAGACCACCATCATACAAAATTTTGCTTCCTTTGATGTATGTTTTTTGTCTTAGCCTCTCACATATGGCATCCAAGATTGGCTCATCCAACAAGGCAAAAATTCTTACCTGTAGCATAAAAAAGACAAAACAATGCAACATAAATATGGAAGTTTGCAGAACTGGAAATTTGCAAATGTTCCGACAATAGCCCAATATTAGGTAATGACCTGAAAAGTCTAATAACATTCACTAAAATAAGATCGGTTACTATATTAGAATATGACTTTAGACTAACTCAATCATACAAAACTGATTTGTAAGATGAGAATTACTATCTATTTATATATATTATTTTAGTCTTATCATTAGTCGATGTGAAATCTCCAACATCATTGGTTCAACTACATTAGCTTTTCCTTTAAATTGTGTATTAGTTTAGTCATACATACTATTGTACTCACTTTCTTGATAAATGTAAAGAGATGGCGTCTAATGTCCCTTTGGAGGTCTTCTGGCAAATTCTCTAGGAGCATTTCTTCATTCACCCCCCTTGTTGCGGCCCAGTTATAACGTTCAGCCTGTCTCACTCTCCTACATCACAAGTTCACAACCCAATCATATAAGTGGACTAGAATCTCTCTATCACTTTATATCATCCACGCATTCATATATATGATTCCAATGCCTATGTTAAAATGACAGATTGTATACTTGTTTTAAAGCATTTGCTCCAACAAACATGCAATAGTAATAGCATCTTATTATATAGCAATAATTAGTAGCTTCTCACATGTTTTCTTTGATCACATTCCACATTTATGGAGCTAGGATATTAATTAATTAGGTTGCAAATAATTTATCATGTGAGTTGATTGAAGTATACTGGCATTGATCCCACCTAATGGTATTAGCTGCAGTTCTGTCCTACACACTAGTACTAACGGTGCTATGTTGTAGCCTTCTTTTCAGTTGTAAATAACTCTAGAGTCAAACATAACATATAAATAGAGGCTCAAGAAATTTCAAATTATCTGATAACAAAGAAAATACAAAATATCATTGGTTTCAATAAAACAGAAAGTAAGAAAATAAATTTAAACAAGAAATTGCTTAAGTAGGTAATATATACATTGCCAAGAAATAGTGTTTTGGAAGGGAGTAGAGTTCACAAGTGGGGAATTTAATCAATTTAACTATAAAAAAAAACTATAATAACTATTCAATTCTGACAAAAATGAGAAAAACGGGTACCTTCTAAGATCTGCTGCTAAGCGTCTATGGCTCATCCATTCCTCAACATCCCGTCGTCTAAGTGACATTTCTAGCCTCCTTTAAAGAGAAAGTAAGAAAATGAAATGTTATTAACAATGGAATATATAACAACAAAAGAAAAATTTATCAACCATAAATAGCCACAAACATTATATTCTGTTCTTAGACTTCTAGTTATGACCTCATGAGGTATTGCACCATATGAAGCAAGGAATTCTACCTGCGTCCAAGAGCCTGAAGAAAGTTCTGTATGTTTCCAATGAGAAGAGCAAACAGCAACAGTCCCGATCCTATAATGGCCATTGTAAAAAGAACTTCACAAACATCATAACTAGGGATTAAATTGCCAGCCAGTGTACTAATTTGCTGCCAAAAAGAAAAAAAGCATACCATTAGTAGGATTTCATTTATTTGAAAAAAAAAAACTATTGAATTAAAGACATGTCATTTATATACAACTCTGAAGTATCTTGTTCCTAAGATAATTAAATGTGGTTTTTCCAGATTAATGAATAATCATTTTGGAATTTTAGGCTCTAAAAGACTGAAGTGTGCATGTTATTTCGCCTCATTCGTTGACTCAATTTTCACTACTAGACAAGCTTTATGACACCTAAGTTCTACTAAAAGTACACCTCAAAAATACACTTGTAGCATATTGAGCTTGAAAATAATAAATACAGTTACTATTGGAAAAAAGAAGTGAATGGTATACCTGGAATCCCCAAAATGATGAATATACATATCTATTGATCACATTATGATTTGCAGTAAGGTTGACAGCTTTAAGATAGATACCGTACTCAAAACCATCTTCAGTAAAACAAGCACTTGCAACAGAACTGTTCTTCCATTTAAGCCAATTTGTTTTATTTTGATAATCTGCTGTTTGTCCATGCCCACAATCAATGAATTTTGTACATTCACTGATATTTGTTATCTTGCAGGCTCGTCGTAGACACATATTAACCCTCTAGGACAAAAAATAGGGTGAATTACAAAATTAATAATAAATAAGAACCTTTATTTGATGCAACCACCTAAAATGAAATCTCCTAACTTTAATTGAATCAGAAAATGTTTCTCATAAAATCATAGGGACTCATTTCCTTTTCAATTTAAACTGAATTTCAAAGGTATGTCAATTTAAAATCAGATAGGAGAAAAAATGGAAGGAAAATGGTTGTCACTATAAAGAAAATACAATTATATAAAGGAATGACCTTAACCTACCTGCAAACCAAAGAGGTACCACCAGGACCCAACAAAGTGGCCAGATAGCATAAAGGTAAAAAGATTTATAAAGAAACTTGCCCATGGAGACTCAAATATGAATCCACTTGGAGAAATTAGCATAGGAAGAAACCTACACAGTCTGGGAATATACTGAACAAGGATCACATTACGCAAAAGATTCTTTGAATAGTTTGCTCCTGTTGACCCCGTTTCCAAGTGCTTTGGTAGGACAAACACTATGAATATCTGCAAATATTTCACAGAATTATTATACCATGACCAGGAGTTTGACATTTATATAATTATACACCCAAAATTGCTTCTATTTTCATAACAAATGCCATATCCTTTTCTTCGATTGATACCATCTATTTATTTTCAGGCACATGTTCATGAACACAATATTATTCCTCATGCATATAATTATATCACATTTTCATCCACCCTAATACATTAAATTTACAAATCAAAGCTATCAATCTCCTTCATATGGCTCACTTTACTGGTAAGGATCTTCATGTTTTCCTTACATGTCAGATATATATATATAAAGACAACTGAAAATTTAATGACAAAAATACACATTGCGTGTTAAATTTAGAAACCAGACAATTTCCATTACTTTGTATTATGGAATGTATACTTCAATACTTGTACACCAAAAAAAATCATATTAGATGTGTGACATGCTGTAGTTATAACAAGCAAGAAATAGAGATGAAGGGAGATTTACCTGAGGAAGTGGAAGTACAACAAATAAGTCAATAATAAAAGATGTCCGAAAGTAGTGAAAAGCTATTTTCTTAGGATGGTCAACTAACTCCCCGGCACCAACCACCCTAGACTCAGGAGCCACATAAGCCAACCTAAACTGCAGAGAATCAACTTTGAAGAATTAATTGTGTTCTGTTGCATCAGAGAAGAGTACCAACCTAGACTTGTGAACAAATAAAACTAGATTTAAGATTCAAGACCATCACTCTTCTCTACTTGGTACCGACATAATAGGCACACTACAGTCTCATCATCCACAGTTATCCGCAAATCATAATTGTGACTGTTACACAAAGCTAGTTCAAGAGGTGAGAGTTATCTCCCACTTATACACATTACTTTGGTCATATCACTAGACACGTGAACAAATAAAATCATATTTGGTGCTATTACCTGAAGAACAATGTTTAGAAAGTGTATGAAATCATTTATGCTTCTAAGTACAACAAGCATTTTTGTCATAGTCCAGTTTATAACAATACATTTATTTTCCTGCATACGAGAAACCAGAAAAATTAGAGTACGTTAGCAAATATACTGCACAGAGAATTGAACATAAGTTAATCAATTAAACGCCAAATTCTAAGGTAACTTGACAAGATGGAGTGCTACATGACTATATTAAGGTATAAGGATCTCTATGTCATTTATATAAGTAGTGATCAAAGCTTATATAAATAATAGGCTAAAAACCTATTTTGGTCTCTTATAATAATTGTTTGTTTCAATTTAGTCTCATTTTTATTTTTGGTCTCAATTTAGTCCCTAATAAATTAATTGGTTGCAATGTCGGACTTCCGTCTAAACTATTTAGACGGAGTTAACTGTTGGCCACGTTCTGAATCCGGAACGGGCCGTTCTGGTTTCAGAACGGGCTGTTCTGGTTCCAGAATACAGTTGATGATTATATCCAGAAATTTTAGACCGTGAGAACAATACTTATTCATATATTTGTAACATTAAAAATTTTATATATAATTTTTAAAAGTATAAATATATATTATAGTTATTTTTGAAAAAAAAATTATATCTATAATTATGATTAAGGATGAAAATAAACTAGGTCAGATTATGTTATATTATAATTTAACAGATTTAAACCTAATTTTTGTTAAAAATACATGTTATAAATATTATATATTTATCTATCATAGACATTTTTTAAATTAACACACCAAGAGTGAAACCAGAACGGGCCGTTCCGGTTTTAGAACGTGTCGTTCTGGTTCCAGAATGCAACACATACAGTTGATAATTATATCCAGAAATTTTAGATCGTGAGGACAATATTTATTAATATATTTGTAATATTAAAAATTTTATATATAATTTTTAAAAGTATAAACATATATTATAGTTATTTTTTAAAAGTTTTTATATCTACAATTATGATTAAGGATGAAAATAAACTAGGTCAGATTATGTTATATTATAATTTAACAGATTTAAACCTAATTTTTGTTAAAAATACATGTTATAAATATTATATATTTATCTATCATAGACATTTTTTAAA